ACACTGAATGATAGAATCATGATAAAGAGCAGTCACCTTATCAGGATGCAGATAGACCTTGTCTCTGAAGAGGAGAATAACCCCAGCATCATCAAGACAATGTGCAAATGTTGCAGCCTCCTCAGCATCTCTTGCAACACCCATTTTCTTACACTCTTCAAGAAGCTCACAGTAGGGAATAATCTCCTTCTCCTCCCTTTCAAGCTTCTCCTTTAGCGATTCCACATTCGCCAATCTCATTAGCTTCTTAGCCTCACGGAAGGACATAGACCCTTTTTTTCCATTCCCATTATCATCATTACTCTTACTATTATCATTATTATTACTATTATTACTATTCTCATTCCCATTCCCACTGACAGCATCAGCAGGGTGTGAAACTGAAGCTGTGGAACAGACACCGCTCTTCATCTGCCTCAACACAAACGCCACCCCTCCTCTCCTTCCACCACATTCCCCTTCAAAACCCCTCAAAGGATCAAAAGGCTGAACCTTTCCCCCACAACCATGGCTTCCACTAAAAACAAAAGACACCCTTTGCCTCAGAATCGATCCTCCACCACCGGCACACCACCATCTACTCCACATCTTGAACACGCCAAAAAAAAAAGGCTCAAACTTTTATCTACCCTAAACAGACACTACCTAGCACGGTAATTACGACTCACCATCCTCAAAATCAAGCGTTACCACAACCGATCATAGTTCTCAGATTTGAATGATAAGAACTTTTGTAGAAAGATAGAACGTGTGCATTTACTGCTACCAAAAATAAAATGAAAAAATACAAAATAGAAGAGGAAGGGAGGAAATAGAGGCAAAGACATCGCGGAATGAAAAAAAGAGAAAATAAAACCTAATTCGGGAAAGCAAAGGCAAAGCTTGTGAAGTGTACAGAAAGAAAAGACGTATACATGCAACAACCACGAATTATCAGTGTTCCGTTTCCGTAACATTCCGTCTGAATAGCTAACAGTCTTACACCACAAAATTGATTGGTAGTTGACGGTCTTCAGCAGAGAAAGTATTGTACTTTAAGATATATTTTTTTAAGAATATGTTTACAACATACGAAAATCACTTTAAAAAATTTAATATATTTTGATCTTTAAATTTTAAAATTAAATAAATATAGGTTTTTAGTTTAGTTATTTAAAATAAATTGATACGTAAAATATTTTTTTAATTAATAATGAAGTGTTAAATTATGTAAATTATTTTCTTGTAAACATATGTAGATTAAAAAAATTATATTTATTTATTTTTAAAGTTTGAAAAATAATAATAAATTTTAATTTATAAATATATTTTTTATTGCATTGTTCACTTATACCTTTTGAGAAGAATTTCATTTATTTTTTTCATTTTTTTAGAAGTGCTGAGATCACGGCTTAAGCAAAGTTGATGCTCATCAATTCTTAAAATTTTTCCTTAGGTGTCGTGTAACATAACCGAAATTGGATTCGTGGCTAAAATGTTCATTCTTCTTTGGAATTTTGGGTACAGGTTTGTAAATTGCTTGTGGTGAACGTGATGCTTTCGGATGTGATATATACCTCAAAATGTTATTTTTGTGCCTGAGAACTGTAATGGTTACACGAAAAAAAAAACCGTACAAAATTTGTTTTTAATAAAAAAAACTTTAATACCCACAAAAAATAAATTGCACTCCTTTGATACAAGCATTAATATTTAAAATTAAAATGTAAAAGTATATTAATAGTTTATGATATTATTGTTGAGAATTCAAGTAAGCACTCCAAATCCTAAGATAGAAATGGAAAAGTAGAACAATATATAAAGATGAAAGACTATTGTCTTAATCAACAGAATTTTTTCTTGATATACCCAAAAATAATATGAGAATATTTTTCTTTGATGAATGTAAAAAATGTTACCATTTATATTTCTACTTTTATTGTAATATTGATTTAAACAAGCTATAGTTTAACTTTAAATTTATTTATGTTAATAATTAATATATATTTTTTAATTTCTCTTAAATGTTGGATAACATGTTATTTTTATTTAGTTCTTCTTTTAGTTAAAACCATGAAAAAAATAATTAAGAATAATTTTGGAAAGAAGTAACATTTGATGGTAATTTTACAAGTAGAAATATGTACAATTAGAATATTTCTTTAATTTTACTATAGATAACAGAAGTGAATCTAATTAATATTAATATTCAAGTAAAGTTATATCATAAACAGAGAATGATACTGAATACAGGATCATGTTTCCTTAATATTTAATATAAAAAAATCATCCATCTTACAACCACAATTTTATCTTTTATTATTATTTTTTAAAAAATACAAAATTCTTTTTTTTTTAAGTTACGATATTATTTTTAAAAAGAATTGTCAGGATGAAATGTGGAATAGCTATTTATCTTTTATTTTATTTTGTATGGATTTTATCTATCAAACCATGTTTTGATAATATTTTTGTTTCAATGAAATACGCACCTTAGTAGTTTTTTATTTACATTTTAATTTTTTTAAAATTAAAAATATTTTTCTATTCTTATAATCGAAAATCTGAATTTTTAAGACAAAATAACACATTTAAATAAAATGTCTATTGTAACAACCAGAATCGCAACGGTACGACGAACCGAAAATAAATGGGTTTGAGAAAAGATTTTTGGGAGTCACCACCATAATTTATTATTGAAAAACTATGTAAAACCATAAAATAAAAGTGTGATCTACGAAAACTATATTTTAGGTTCGTGAATGGATTACGCGTAAGGAAGGTATTAGCACTCTACTCCGCCTGCCTAAAAACAGTACCTTTAATTAAATATATAAAGTTGATATGGTTTTTCAAAATATTTAATTTTTCCTAAAAATAATAATAATATAAAGAAACTATTAAGAAACAAAAAAATTTTTACGATGAAAATTAGGGATCGCGTAGTTCTTTATCTAGAAAAAAGTTTATGAATTTGTTTGAAGATTATTATGGATTGTTTGAGATTTTTGAAAGGTGAACCCGATTAGAATTGATACCGTTTTTTTTTTATTTTGATGATTTTGTATTCTTTTATTTAAAAAAAAGGTGGGAAAGAAAGGAAAGAAACCGACCCTATGCCACTTATTTTATGACTTATTATTTTTTATAAGAAAATATCTAATAAGAAATATTTTTTTTGAAATTGTTTATTTATTATTTATTTTAAAAAAAAATAAATATGACGTGATGCGGGAGACATAACATATACCAAAAGACATTATGTGTGTAGTAGAAAATAATACCTTTAGAAAAATTCTCAATGTACACTAAAAAGAGAAAAAGAAGAGTGCAGAGATGACATACCTTATGAGCTTTTAATACTCTCCTAGTTCTTCCTAAGTTGTTTATGTGGTGTATCTCTCTATTTATTCCTCTCCCTTTTTTCTATCATAGGGTGGGTACACACATTCTAATATTATATTAATCAGACCTTAATTGTGAGTTATTTGACAACTAACAAAATAGGAAAAGAAAACAAAATAGGAAAAAAAATGGTCGTAGTTCTAGAAAAAAAACAAATCGAATAATATTCAATGCAACAAATTATATTAATATATTATTTTAATTACTGTTTATAATTATTGGCATAATATTAATTCAAAATATTATTATATTAAACTAATATTTCAAAAATATTTTCTAATGTGTCATGTATTAAAGTTTGAAACTTATATACATTATTTTATCTTTTTACCCAACATTAATTATTATCCTGTTATTTTTTTTATTTATTTACTTGTTTGGACGAAATAATATTTTAAGATTATGGATGGAATCATGGCATGAAGATTAGAGATACCTTCGAAAATGTTTGTGAATCATTTATCCATCTTTACGTTTAGACGTAACTGTAATACGAATTATAAATCTTTTTAGTATTTTAGT